CAAATCCAATCGCCAATCATCCAATAAATATTTTTCAACAAAAATTCATTGATCTATAAACATAAAATTAGTGCCTTTAAATAACTAATTCCATATAATACAGAAGAGCTCAGAATTACCTATGAATCCAGATGTGAAACAAAAATTCTTCAGAAAGGAAGTGAATATGAAAAGAAAAACTTTCTCCTCTCATGATAGTGAAAGACTGTCTTTTCAGATGTAGAAAACTAAAGACTTGGCTCAAAGTTATTTTTGAATTGATAAAAACAAAATATTTTATTGGGAAAACAGAATCAGCCAGAGAACAGCAGACAAACTTCCCTAAATCACTCTGGTGTGAGTAGAAATTGACATGATCTTTCTGGAAGGCAATTAGCAAATTACATTAATAACTTTAGGAATTTGGCCATTAACTCAGGAAGTCCTTACCTATGAATTCAACCTACGTAAACATACAGATTTATGAAAAGTCATGAAAATAGTGTTTAAGAATATTTATAATAGCAAAAATTGGCAACAATCTTTATTTTTACTGAACGGGGGAATTGTTAAATAATTGATGATACGTCATGCAAGAAATGTTATGCATTATTTGATTCCTTATTTATTAAGTACCTTCTAGGAGATAGCAAATAATTAATACAGACACAGGTTTCATAAAGGTGATGTTTTAGTCGATGGCAGAAGAGACATATACTCCACAATCAAACAAACAAATACATAAACACAGCATTTTCAGAATAACGGAAAGTGCTACAAAGACAGTGAAACAGTGATGTAATAGAAATGGCTGGTGGCAAAGACTTGGGACTACTTTACATAAGGATTTCTCAACCTCAGCACTATTAACTTTGGAAACCATATTCTTTGTGTGTGTGTGTGTTTTTGGGGGGGGCGGGGAATCCTGTGCATTACAAGGTATTTAACAGCATTCCCAGCCACTACTCACAATACACACTCGTCCCAATCATGACATTAAAACATGTCTCCAGATACTGCCAAGTGTCCCCTGGGTGGCAAAATCTGCCCCAACTGAACCACTGCTTTCAATTTAGTGTAAGGGAAGGCTTTTTTGAGGAGAAAACATTTGAGCTGAGATGTGAGTATGTTTTTAAATAGTCTTTAGGATACAGGCAAACATTCATGATATAATGATAACATATATATATAGTATATTCAGTAAAATTCCAATACTGATTTTCTTTTTGGTTAGGAGCACAGACCTGAAGCCAGGCTGCCTTAGTTAAAATCCCAGCTCTGTCACCTTTTAGTTGTGCGACCTTGGGTAAGTTCCTTTACATCCCTGTGTTCTTAGATCCTTATTCAAAAAAAGGGTGATAGTAGTAGTACTTAATAACATATTAGGACTTCTGAGAGGATTAATTGAGTTAATAGATGCAAAGGTCCTAGAAGAGTGAGTGACACATCTTAGAAGCACTATGTAAATTACATACATATATAGTTTATATAATAATATATTAAAATTAGAATATTCTAATTATATCTAACATATATATATTTTATATATATTCTGGATCTGATGTATGTAGATATATATGTCATATATATATATCTATGTGTATATACACGCACTAGATATTTCCATTGCCTGTTGTGAAACTAATAAAATAATGTGTTAATACTGGTAGAATTACAGGGGATTTTATTTTCCTTGTGTCTTTTTATAGTCTTCACAGTTTTATAGATACAAATGCAAATGTTGCTTTCACATCAAAATAAAAATCAATATGTACTTTAGCACAAAAGAGAGAATTTTTAGACTTGCACCAGGATCAGCTGGCATTTCGAGAGTGGGGAGAAGAACAATGAAAGATGTGCCCAGAAAAAGGCATCCCAGGGGGAAATGAGTCAATTGCCAATGGAAAGTCAAGACACCCCACGTTCAATCTGTCAGTCAGTTCATCAGTCATCTGAAATTTACTTAACATTTGCTTTCCGCCAGGCACTGTGCTAGGCACTGGGAAATCAAGGATGAATGGAGGGCACATTTCACCAAGAGGCTTGCAACAGAAAGGGGAAGAGAAATACAAACACAATTAACCACAGTACAACATACCAAAGTATAGGCAATAAGGAGGATACCCACCCAGGTCTCTGGGGGCTCTCAAAGAGAACAGTTAATTTCAGTTGGAGTGAGGGTCATGGTAGGAAGCTTCACCTACACTTGCATTGGTCTTTGACGGATAAGTTGGGAAAATGCAATCATTTCCAAGAGTTCCTGCTGTGAGTGTACACATAACGTGCTTCCTAATCAAATACTAGCAAGATCAATTAACCTGAAGAGAGGAAAATCAGAAAGGACAAGGCAGTGACACTTCAGAAAAGTGTCTTGATCTCCTATCAGAGTGCCTGGTTTCATAAAGCAATTTGTGAAAGTCAAGTTTGACTGTCAGAGGAATTAGAAGGCTTAAGTTCAAGTACTGCCCCTTACCAGCTGGGTAATCTTGGGGAAACCATTAAAATCTCTGACCCTCCGCCTACTTCCTCATTCATATAATAGTGATAATAATACTCTGCAAGACTGTTGTGAGACTCAAATGAGATAATGCAAGTAAGAGACTTTCTGTGACATTCAAATAGTTGGGATGATAAAAACTCTGGTTTTAACATACCAGAGAATATTTTGAGTAATTATAGTTTAATTTTTAACATTTATACTTAAACACTAACAGTAAAGAAAAAAAATCAACTTGTCTATACATTCCCAATTATACATGAGTTTATAGCCTGACTGACTTCATTCATTTTTTTCAGAGCACTAAACCTATTCCTAATCCAGGCGCATCAAGGTATTAAAAACTGCTAACCAATTTTTCTTTCCTGAGATAACATAATCTTTATTTCCTGAGACCCTTTATACTAACATTAAACTGAAGGTAACTGCATAAAAATGAAATGGAGACTCATAATTGCAAACTGTTTTCACGTCTGATGACGATTCAACCACTTCTGAGGACTGAATTGCTCCTGTTAAGAGTTTAGGATCGAGCTATAAAAGTCTATCACTTAGCTGCTGTCTGCCTACAGGTGCAAAGCAGAGACAAGCAGAAAACTGCGGTAATTATCTAGAAGCATTAGGCCCAAAAGTCCACTCTGGCCCCAAAAGATTGAAGTTACTTTACAGGTATCAGGGAAGCTTGGGGAGGGGGTCATGTTCAACATTCTCTTAGTACTTTCTTCCTCTGGAATCCTCTTCACCTAGAATGCTCATTGGTATTACATCTGGAGAAATAATACTCTTTTGCTTTTTCTCTCTTTAAAAAAAAAAAGATTTACTAAGACTGATTGAAAAGGCTTAAAATGTCCTCTTGTCAAGGCCCTTCATAAACATTTCATCTAACGTTTTCTGAGGCAGAGTTTTAGTTGAAGCACTGCAGGAGACAAATCAAAACAATGATACAGAAAACCATGGCTTTAACCTGAATGTCTTTAGAGGACATCTTCTAACCAGAGCTGGTATTTTAAAATTAAAGGAAAAAAGGTCCAATATGTTTAGTTCATTTATTTCTCCCCCCCTCAAAAAATGGATTTAATGAACCCAAGATTGTGTTTCGCCTCATCTAACAGGACACAGAAATGGAACACTCCATGAATTAATTACTTCCATTCATTTCCAAAGGTGAGAATATTTTAGAATGTCTTCAGCCCTCACCTAGAGAAAATTATCCCATTCAGTTTCCAAAAAAGAAAACGTGATTTTTTCAAAATACCTCTTCTTTGAGGATCAATTACCTTTTATTATGCTTTTATGACTACTGAGGAATCTTTATCCTACTAATTTTGTTCTGTCTTTAGCCACAGTATCACATCCCAAATTTAATTCAGTATACTAAAAACCGTACTCTACATATCAAGAAAACAATTCTAACTCTTTCTAATAATTTTCCACATGTTTGATCATGTTGAAAGCTTTTCTACATTTTGGGTATTGTGTTATCACCTACCAAGCTGTAGAGAATACAGTGCATATATTCTAACAATAACAACATTATATCATTTCTGACATTTGTGTGAACTTTACAAACTTCACATACCAAGAAAAAAACTTTTTTTCCCTCTGCAGTGTCAGCTCACTAACCATACTTATTTGTTAATGGTTCAGTAGCTTATACTCTGGAATGTTACTTGTTTGTTTTGATCTGATTTCAACCACAGATACTCACAGTAATAAATTCTAAGCTAGAATATAGTTTAAATTCAAAGGAAAATATAATTCACCATTACAGCTTTAAAAATAGTCCATGCATCTGAAATACACACTCACCTCAAATGTTTTGGTCTAGAATTAAAATTAACATCACCCTGTCTTAAAAGCTTATCTAATAATTTTTATACAGGTTTCTGGAGTTTACCACTCACAAGAAAAACCTAACAAGCTGCCTTTGTCAAAAGGCAATTTGTCAATAGAATAGATAGGGTATTCTATCTATTCAGGTAACAGTGAGCTATTGACATTTTGTGTGTGTGTTTTACTTTTTTTGTTTTCTTATGAGTAGTATGACCAGAATACTACTACTAGCATCATTTTGCCTATACTGTGTAAGACGTCTTGGGGAGAGCTGTCACTAGAGCTGAGATCAATGACTACTGAAATACAGGGAGACCTTGTTTTATTGTGCTTTGTTTTATAATACTTCACAGACACTGCATTTTTTACAAATCCAACACCATTTTCTCACTTCTTGTCTCTGTGTCACATTTTGGTAATTTTCACAATATTTCCAACTTTTTCATTATTACTGTGTTCATTATGGTGATCTGTGATCAGCAATCTCAGATGTAACTATTGCAAAAAGATTACCACTCACTGAAGGCGCAGATGATGGTTAGCATTTTTCAGCAACAATGGAGTTTTAATTAAGGTATGTATCTTGTGTTTTTAGAAATACTACTACTACTGCACACTTCATAGGCTACAGTATAGTGTAAACGTAACTTTTATATGCGCCAAGAAAGCAAAAAAAAATCATGTGACTCACTTTATTGCGGCATTTGCTTTCTCTGGGTCACCAGATCGTCTGCAACAGAACAGGACATGGACAGTATCCCTGAGGTCTGCTTGTAGTCCAGACTTGAGGGCACAGATGATTAAACCCAAGAGGTAGTTCTCCTAATGATGAAACAGAGATAGACCCATGAGGTATTTAGAAGGAAGAACAAACAAGAACTGGTAAATCATTGGGTGGGATGGTGCAAAGCAAAGAATATTTTTAAGCTGAGGAAACTGGCAAAATGACAATACAATGAAAAGAAACTGAACTGTGAATTCTCCAGGGATATCCAGGATTACCTAGTTTGGGGAGGAGAATGAGAGACACTATAATTTTAAGGATTTGGCTGGTAACTCAAATAAAATACCCAATAGTCAGCTGCAAGTATGAGATGGCAATTTGTGATGACTGTGGGTCTCCTGAGGACCAAGACTATTTGCTCTTTGTCTCTGAATTCCCAGGCACCTAGTCCAGCCAGGTACATAGTTTACTCTCAGTAAAAGAAGCCTGCCTGGCTGGCTAGAGATTTGGGGGCCAACTGCACAAAGGAAATACTTTGTGACTGTGAACAAACACAAACTTTAAGACCAAGGAACAAAGAAAGGAACTAAGAGGACAAAGTTTTGAGGAATAAATATACTAAAGGAACGGGAGGGAAAAACAAAACCAATAATAGAGACAGGGAAGGTGAGTCAAAGAAGTAAACTCAGAGAGAGGAAGGGGAAGGGAGGGGAGAGGAGAAGGAAAATTGAGAACAGAATCAGAGGAGCCAGGGGAGAAGAAGAGATGTTACTTTTTCATAATTTGAATTCATATATATGAATTCATATATGCATGTGCATGTGCAAGTGTGTGTGTGTGTGTGTGTGTGTGCGTATATATGCTCAGAAAATGCATGGATGCAAAAATTATAAAGTTACATTTAGTGAGCAAAAATGAAAATCATTAAAATGTTTCCTTAAAACTTAAGGTAAATAAGTGACCAGCTCCTGTCACTTTGATTCATCCATTGCATGTGGGTACTCAATAAATGTTAACTGAATTAAATTAATAACATTTGCTCAATGGTAATAAAAATTAATTAACTATCTTCTCTGTTACTTAAGTTTATGCCCATTGCTTCTGCAATTACTTCGAGTCCGAATAGCACTCTTCTATTTCACTGACTGTCAATATACACTTTAATTTTTTTCCCGAGAAATAAAGCTGAGATTCTAATTTTTGTCCTAATTTTGGCGATATTTTTCCTGTTGAAAAAAATTATTTTCTCTAAGTTAATGTCAAGAACTATGTATAACATCCCAAATATAGTTTCACGAGTTCCTTATTTAATTTGGAAATAGTTTTCTCTGCAGAAGATGTGATACCACTTTTTATGTTTCCCCTTTTAGCTTATGTTACTTTATAATACTTCGGGTATAATGTCAAATAATATCGCAAAAGAAGGAATCTGGGGAAATTATTGTAACATTCCATCTATAAAAGATGGAAGATGTCAGTTACATTCACCCCCAAATTGTGACTCATTTCAGATGTCAGAATTCTGGGTTGAACAGACTGGGTTCTGAAATGTGTGTATGTCAGATGATTTTCTAATGAGCAACAGATAGTTCCTGCTGGGGAATGAAAAAAAATAAAAATATAAACAGAGATATAGAATTAAAATAACTTTATGAATGGCAGTTTAACTTCTCCATAAAATTCTCTCAGTACAAGCTCACTGTCTCCAAATGGTTGCTTAATGTAGCACACCACTTAGATTCAAAATGCTATACTTAAAATTGTCGAGAAATTAAAAAGAGAATCATATACCACTTGGCGGTATACTGTATTCTCCGCATGTTCTTATATGCCAGTAACCTCTATCCAACTTTTTTTTCTGTTACTGAATTACTTTGTGCAAAAGCAATTTAAATTACATGCAGCCTGACTACGTGTGATAATTTGAACTGATTGTTAATTAATTCTGTAAGTAAATAGCTGCTGTAATCGCTATACTCATCAAGGTTTCGTTATCTATCAGTCCTTTCTGAGCTGCTCCTTAATGTACGGGATAAAGCAGCTGGAACTAAACAGGCAGGATTCCCTAAGTGTGCAAGAAGGTAGTCTTGCTTTGCAAAGACTGCTCAGGGAGAGGTACATCTGTAAGGTAGTTATTTACAAGGCTAGATTTCGGGTACGTGACTTATCACGGGACTGAAGAGGGTTTTGCTGACATGTAGTCCCAGCAGCAAGGAAGCAAAGATAAAAGTTAGGAACAGACCAGAGGAAATGTTGTATAATATAAAGAGACAGGGATAAGAAGAAAGCTTTTGGAATCCACCAGGCCTGGGTTCAAATCCCTCAGACAGCTTATCTAAACAATCTAGCCTCGATTACACTCATTCGTCTGTTACCCTGGTGTACCAATTCATACATTTCCTATCTGTTCTGGGAGGCTGACATATGCACCTCTTAGAGTCTTTGTGATGCTTAAGTTAAACAAGATATACATGGTAACATAGAACTTGACATAAAATGTATGCAACGTGTGTGTGTGTGTGTGTGTGTGTGTGTGTGTGTAAAGCATTGGTCTGGTACTCATCCTGTATGACTTTGATATCAATATTTCTCTGAGTGCTAAAGCCATAATTTCAATGACTACTTGTAATAATAGTTGGTTACCCGACACTGTGATACCCAAGTAAGAAAAAATAAGCTAGTATTTTTTTTAATCATCACCATGATTATATTACTCAATGAATCTCTCTTGGGTTAAAGGAATCTAAGAGTTTCCCAATCTGTCGAGCTAATTCTATCTATTTAATATTACATTAATTGCTATCAACAATAGATGTTTCCCTTAATCCTTATTTCTGCCAGTCCCTTTTAATGTGAACCAAACTGCAACCAAGAGATTTAAAGCTAGTGGCATTAGAGGTAGGGAATAAAAGCAACCAATGTTGAAAGTCAAGGCTGTTTGGAGGTCCAGAAAGAAACAAAAATGGCCTAAGACAATTGTGTGCACCATACTGTCAGTTCCCATGCCAGTTGGGAGCCTTCCTAGAGCAATTTTCTAATGATTAGCTTCTGAAAAATCAGTGATGCACAGATCAGTGGTTTGTCATCTCCTTTCTCCACTCTCAAAAGCAGAAGGGCCCTGAGACAGTGGCTCCCAAACCTGTGTGCATGTTGGAATCACCTGGGGAGCTTCGCAAATCCCTCGGGGATCGTGATTTAATCTCTTGAGGGGTAAGAGAAGCTGCCTAACCTTTAAAAACTTTCAAATCTTTAAAAGATTTTCTAGATGATTCTACTCTGTACACAGGTCTAGGAACCACTGTCCTAGGAAAAATAACCAAGTAGAAGTCTCTTTCTACCCCAAACTGAGAAGCAGCTTCTGAAAGGACAATGAAAATGGACTTGGCAAGAATATTTTTCTTGCACCAAGCTATGTAAGCATGGTAAAATTAAACCAGGTGGCCAGTTGTTCTATTAACGTCAGTCTCTCAAGAGTATTACTGAGTCAGGCTCTGGACTAGTGACGGGGAAGTAATTCTCCAGAAAACATCTTCACTGTCTCCCAAGAGTGCTGCCAGATCACAAGGACTGTTGCTTGTTTGGTCTTAAGAAGTCCCTGGGAATCAGCCTTGGATGCATGTTTGAGAATACCTTCTGTTAACTCTTCTCTCCATCTTAGTGTCACTTAATTGGTATGGATAAGCTATACACACTGCACCACGACCCAGTCTGGTTCCCTCTCTAACGTGACTTCAGTGTGCTCTTTATACGCTCCTTAATATTGTCCTGCATTGCAAATTTGTTTGATGTTTTGGAAAGCCAGGGACCATGTCTGTCTTAGTCACCGCTGTTTCCCCAGCGCCCAGCTCAGTACGTGTTATAGAAGAGGCCCTCAATTATTATGTGGGAATGAGAGAATGAATATGGGAGTTCTGGAACACACGAAGCCCCTAGACCTTCTCAGCCATCTCTGTGCCTCTCCAAAAAAGAATCTCAGTCAAGGACTCTGCTGGAGGTTTCTTCCTAGGTGGTTATATGGAAATAAAAGCATGTTCCCAAGAAGCACACCCCCAAAGTTACAGATTATCACCTTAACAGGGACCTAACAAATGGCAAGGCAGGCTAAAGAGTGGCAACTTAAGAGTCTTTAAGGGCAGACATAGAAATGAGCTTACAGACTGCTTATGCGTGACCACTTTTCACATACAGGGGAGGAAACTGAACTTTGTAGAAACAAAAAACTAAGACAATTTGACTGAGATCACACACATGACTGAACAGTACTACTGTCTAGCATTTAAGACCCTTTTACTACCTCTGAGATCCATAAAACATTATGATAATAAGCTGACAACATTCTATGAGATTTTTGTTAATCCCAGTGAATGAGTGTCTTGATTCTCTCCATCCACCACTGAAACAACCACTGTAGAAAAAAGTGTTACCAACTACTGTGAAAGGTGAAACTTGCAATGTGGGTAAAATCCTATAATGATTGCACTCTTTTATTCTTCCATGTATTTCCATTCAAAAAATTCTGTTCAATAATGCTTTATTCTTTTAAATAAGATTCTAATCTTATAAAAGTCTAGAAAGTGTAATTTTCTGCAAACATCCATTCTTGGATCTCTAGGTCATGTCAACTATAGCGAGTCTGTGTATGTGTTTTCTTTTCTCATCTAGATACGCAACTCACAAACGAAAAGCAGGCAGATGAGAAAGCCATTAATGCTATCGTTATAAATTCAGTAACCGAATTCAATATCACAGATGGACCAGTCAAGGAAACCCCCAGTGAGAAAAAACTGTCAGAATCCAGCACATCACTGTCCTCCCTTGAAGAATGCCAAACGAAATTTTCCTACCTCCAAACTGATGCTTCAGTTCATCCAAGAGACACTGATGGTATGTTTTTCACAATCAACCCGTCTCTAAATAAAACTCCCCAACCCCCAGCCCCTCGAAAATCATCACATATGCTGTTAGGGGTAAAAAAAGGTCTTTATGAATATTAAACAGGAAGACTTCGATCTGAAAACTCTGGTGAGTGACACATGTCAAGGTCACCTTGCAAGTAGGAGATGCTTGGCAGGTTGTTTGCACTCAAATCTGGGAGTCTGAGGCCAAGTGTTTTAAATAGCTGGAGTGAGGTATAATTATTCTTGCTATAGAGCTATGAAGTAGACTAAAAAATGGTCAATTTTTTTTCTCTTCTTGGATCTGGGACTACTCAACCCATGGCTCTAGGCTGAGAGAAAAAAAAAAACCCAGTAAAATAGCTTTGAAAGCTGGAAATACATAAATACAGACTGTATAAAATATAAGGATGGTTACATCAGCAGCCTGTGAAAAAGATTTGGTTCCTCTAGATAACATTTCCTCCTAGGCATTCAAATCAGGGCAAACCTACACCAAACCATCCCTAGATATGACATAAAAGGCACGTTCTATCTGCAAAATGAATTTCAAATTAAGTTGCTACTAAATGATCAACACAGTCAAGTTCAGAGTCACTAAGACACACGGAATTCTACTCAGGTTAACTTCGGAGACATAAACCGTTCAAGAGATTGGTAATGTTCCATACTGACATTTGTATTTAAAGAAAGCTTGAAGTTTCTCAAAAGAAAACATCAAAAAGTATAGTTTCTGGTCTATATTTACATGCATATTATACTTTTTTTGAAAATAAGACCAAAACATGAAATGAACTTTCTGTAATAGGAAATATGAAATCACATCAGTTTAATTCCTGGCTCTGAAATTTATTAACTCTATGAAACTGGATACTTTTTTCTTCTTTACCATCCCTTAATCTCAGTCTCTCATTTATATAATAGAGCTAGTAATACACCACAGGATGTTCTAAGAGCAAATGAAATAACACGGGTAAAGCATTCAGTACAGAACCTGTCATGAAAAAGATACTCAATTTTTGCATTTATGATTATTACAGTTTTAATAAATGATAAATATTTTTAACACATGTTACGTATGATCTTGTGCAAATGATGTGATGGATGCTTTAGACCAGAAGCTATAGACACAACTACCTGCAGCTGCCAGGAGATAATGTGAATGATGAAGTAAACTAGAGCTGAACAATAGGGATTGGTGACGACTATGACAAGGTGAAGAGCACTGCCTCTACTCAGAACCAGTGAATTGTTACTGAAAAGAAACACAGGCTCAGAGTTGCCAGGTCTAGAGTGCTACATGAAATCTCTCAAACTTCTAAGCATTGGCAGTATTCTATTTCTTTTCTGAAGTCCCAGACACTCCCCAAAATACACAGCCTTTGGCCAACTCTGGCCTGTAGATTGCTAGGTTATGACCTTGAATCCAAGATGATGCCCAAATTCCTTGTTCTGATAGAGTTTGATGCCAATCGAGAAAACAGGACAGGAGAGTTCTCTGCATTTTGACAGTAGAGTATTTAGTATTTTATTAGATTGTATCAGGGATGCATGGATCTTACTTATAATGGGTCTTGGTTGCAATGATCGCGAAACTAGGAATTACCATTATATGTATCCACATGGTACAAACCGGTGCCCCTCTAGAACCACTCTGATTTGTCTTATCAGGTATCTTGGTAGAAGGTGAGGGGCCAATGCAGCTAGCATGATACTTGAACTCCTGTATTTCCAGGCAAGACCAAAACAACTATCCCATTAAAATGGCAGCCTATACTTAGGAGCCTCATGCAGGAAAAGAACCAACTACTTTGTCTTCAAAAGAGCAAAGCAGAGTCATGAGGACAACTGAATTAGATTGTTTCCTTAAGGTCTGGACTGAGGCCACTATGACCCAGGAAATTCCAGTACAAAGCTGACAGTATAGGTAACAGCCCATCCTTCACAGCGCACATTCTAAAAAAATCCCCCAACTGAGGTAAAAGCTTTTATAAGCTGGTTAAAAGAGAGCATGAAACACCCAGATTAAGGCCCACAAATAGTGCTAAGAACCTCTCATTGTCCTAGAGAGCAAACATCAAGGAAATAAAGAGTTAAGTCAGATTCACTTCATTTTAGGAAAATTTTGATAGTAATTAATATAAGGGTGCAGAAACTGAGAGCTGGGGTCATTGTTCGTACAGAGATAAATACAGAAGTATCTTTCAGGAACAGCAGGGGAAACAGAAGGGAAAAGAGAGGATTGCATCCACTTTCATGTAGTTTGTGGTTAATTTATTTTCAAATATATAAGTGAGTGCATAGGAATGGATGCTTAATTGCTAATATCTATTATTTATATACATTGCCCCACTTAAAACAGGATGGAGAAGTCTCACACATGCAGATTTTGTAAAATGTGTTACATCCATTAGCACAGTTCATGGTGTGTGCTCTGATGGGAATTTAAAAGCATCTTTACTGCACATCACACACTATGTGCTGCGACATTACTTTATTATTAAATTGTGGCTCATGATGTGTGGTCCCTTTCCTGAAAAAAATGGAAAAGATCCAGAGCACTGTGTCTCTGCTTCTGCTTCTACGTTCTGATTGCAAAAGCATCCCTGTGGATGGTAAAACCAGGGATACACATGGTAGGAGAAAACAGTCTCCTTAAAAAGAACTCTGAGAACATGCCTAATTGATGTATAATTTTGAATTTGAGACGTCTCATCCAGGTGGAAGAGGAAAATCATAAATACAAGATACCTCAAAAGAATAGTCTTAATTACACCATGGACTACTGAATAAAATGATTACATTTTCTACACTGTAAATTTCATACAATTAAATGCAATAGTGTCACCTTATAAAATGTTTCAATTTTATAATTATTTCAGTTCATTTGCTCAGAAAAAAACACAAGCACAAATTTACTAAGTATCACCCAAAACTAGTCATTCTAGTTCTAAAGAAGTGACTTGAATGTTAGTTGTGCTTGTCTGAACTCAAATAGATCTTGGCATATTTAAGTAGCTATTAAAATGGATAACATAAGGGATGATACCCCAGCTAGAGAAAGGCATTCAGTCACACTTTATTCTCATTGTGCATTACAGACTTTTTTTTTTAAAAGAACTTAATGTTGGGGGAGTGGGAATCAAATTTTATACTTTTTGGCCAAAAATTTTCAGTAAATCAGTTTGGGCACAGTGTCATAAATCTTTTCTCATTATTATGCCAAATTCTCAGTAATAGCACATTAATCATTAATGTATCAAAATCCTGGGTTGGGCCAGGTTCACCTTGCCTTTTTTTCTTACTTTGTTTTTTGGGGAAGAGGAAGGGAGAGTGTTGTTTATCCGGGGTCACTTCTGGAAGAACCATACTCTTGCCAGTTTGGATAATAGTTCCCCAAAAAGCAGGCGTTATGGTCATGGAGTTGGGGAATGCAACAGGGACTACAGTAGGCAACTACAACTACCTCTTGTCCCTCCCTCCTCCCAGTCCCAGGTATCACAGTGGGAAGAACATCAAAAGCTGGAAGGGCAAACTCAGGGATTACAGGACCATGAACGTGAGGTTGACCTCAAGTACATTCCTGGAAACTCCTTTGCATTGTTACCTTTTCCACTATAATTAAACATAATCTTTTGTAATGAAGCAGAGTCTCCCTCCTTCTCCCCTGGCTTTTTTTTTTGGTACAGTTGATTTACAGTATTATGATAGCTTCAGGTGTGCAGCATAGTGATTCAGTATGTTTGCAGATTATATTCCATCATAGGTTATTACAAGACTGGGTATAATTCCTGATGCTGCACAGTATTTCCTTGCTGCTTATCTACTTTACATGTAGTAGTTTGGATCTGTAAATCCCATACCACTAGTGTGTCCCCCTCCTCCCCTCCCACATTCCCTCTCCCCTTTGGTAACTACATTAAAAAGATGTGGTATACACATACAATGGAATATTACTCAGCCATAAAAAAGAATGAAATACTGCCATTTGCAACAATGTGGATAGACCTAGAGAATATTACAGTTAATGAAATAAGTCAGAAAGAGAAAGACAAAGACTATATGATATCACTTATACATGGAATCTAAAAAATAATGAATGTATATACAAAACAGAAATACATTCTTCCTCTTAATTAGCCAATCTCCAGTTGTACATTTAGCATCTCTAGGGCTTAGTCCTTCAGGGTCTTAAGGGTATTACTTAGCACATTACACTTAGACTTCTGCCTGCATGTTCAGGAGCCATTCACAAGAGAAAACTAGAGAAGAGACAGGTTTGCAGAACCCAAGAAAAAGGGAATGATGCAATTTGAACTTCATGAGTGTGAGATGCTTTAAAGACACTGGGAGCGATGGGAAGCTGGCAGCTGGATGTATGGCACACTCTTCTGGATGGGCCAAGAGCAGTGCTAGTCAAGGGCTATGACTCTAATACAAAGTTTATTAAACATTAAAGTCCCAGGTAATACCACAGGCAAAGGAAAACACATCCGTTTGGGAGAATGGAAAGTCCAACTCTCTTTTCAAACAGTTGCAGATTTCCCCCTGAACTGCTTCTGTCACTGCTGTGCAAATAAAAACTGGCCATATGCAAAACAGTTTTGCCTGCTTGTGTAGAATTATTTAATATGTCTTTCAGGAAAAGTGTGGAACACACTTGAAAGTGGGGGGAAAAATCTGTTTTCAATTCATTAATGTTGCTGTGTTTTTCTGGGCAACAGGCTCTGCCTTTTATAACCAAATAAAAAGGACTGACTTATAAACAGGGAAAAAAAAACAGGCTCTATTCTTGAGTGCAAAATAGAGAGATGGAGGGAAAGAAATGCCAACTTGACCAAAGAGTTAGGCCAAAATGTATTTTTTTATAAATAAAATCTATGGCATACATCAGAAGCAGAGAACTGTAGAGTCTGCTAACTTGAGAAGACATTGGCAGGAGGCACTGAGTCAAACAGCTAGACACCCCAGGAAATTATAAAGCCATTTTTCAAACAGGTTTTCACACTCTGATAGGAAATACCAACCCCCACCCTCACAGGACACACTGCACCCAACCTGACTGACTTCCAAGCCAAACTTTCAGTCTCACACCTACAAAGGACCGGATCTAACAGGAAAATCATTTTTATATGGTCAGAGGGCTGAGTAAGCCTCTGACTCTCCAGCCTGAGAGATCAGGGAGCATGTGCTTGGAATATTTTCTCCTGAGAACCTCTTCTTTCCCAAGGGCGGCTAGAGCAGCAGTCTTGGCATTGAAGAAACTTGATGAGGCTTTATGCCTGTGATCTTTGACCACCAACGTGCCCTCCCTCAGAAATGCATATGCAAAATAGAGTCTATGGACTGTACTAACTCACTCCCCAATTTCTGTGGGTGGTTTGTAGGGACCTAGGAGATATGGATGAGTTGGCCACATGCTACAAGCTGGCTCTGAATGAATAAAAATACAGCCAGTCTGGCAGAGAGATGAGTACATACACCACAGAGGTATTTAGGAATATGCCACCTAAGCTATAAACACTGAGTAATGGCCACAGCATCTGCAACAATACATGTCAACTAAAGTGGCCATAAGAGTCATGGTGTGATTCTTTTCCACCATCTTATTGGGAAGAAAATAAGGAAGGGTGAGGGGTAAAGACGGAGGGGAGATGGGAGAGACCAAGAAATGAAGGCAGATTTCTGTTGACCTAGATGCAGAACTCATTTTAATCTTTATGTAAGTTTTTTAAAGGAATTAGAATGGTTTTCTTTATTTGTTCCCTTTCAGAGCAAGTTTCCATGTTCTCCCTTCTCTTGTAGATTAAGAAGTATATGAACAGTAAAAGAAAAAGTTTTCCGGAAAGCATAGTTAGAAGTAAATGAATGGGGATCTAAGGACACTTAGAACCTTGTGGCAGGTGACTGAGAGAGCAAAATCTCTCCTGCAGGCTTGTACAGTCTCAGTTGACTGCAGTCTGAAAACCAAAGGTTATTAACATTCTTAATGGGAAAAAAAAACAGAAAGTCGAACTATCAATTGATAAGCCCATCAGGAGGGGTGAATTTTCCTCCAATTCATGCTAGAATGTTACCTTCAACCATCAACAGTCTTAAGGATACTGATTCTAACTAACTGGATGCTACATCACATGAACGGTTACCTACCCCTTTAAAAAACCCTCACATGTTTTTGAGACTTTCTGAACAAATTCATTTGAAAGGGCAAGAAAGAAAAGAAAAAAGAAAAGAAAGAGAGAGAGAAAGAAAGAAAAGAGAAAAATAAAGAAAAAAGAAAAGTTAGAATTTAACAAGAGAACTGCTACATCTTTTAATTCCCTTTATGGAAACAAAAAATACAATAATCCATAACCCATCACAGCTGCTTGGCTAGCATTACCAATTACCTTTAGAGATCCTTTTCAGATTTTCACAAGTTGGCATAGAAAATTTTTCAACCAATTTTCTTAAAGAGGATTGATAAGTTTTATTCCTTTTAGGCACATGATGATGTATTTCACTTAACTTGATATAAAATTAAGGCTTTACATAACTGAAGGAAGAAGGAGACAAGGATTAAAAATAGAATACAACCCCAAACAACTATGATTATTTTAAAAATCCTTTATGTGTGTTAGGTTTTGATATGTGCTTTTCCTTCATATTTGAATACGGGTGTGGCAGATTCACTGGAATTCACACCAAACAAATAAGAAAGTCTTGTAGCGAAGCAAGAAATTTGTATGATCTCTCCTTGTCCCCAAATCCAACTGCTCCCCCCTAACCCTGAAAGTTCCCTGCATTTGGGGAGAATCTACTGTTTTTCAGACAACTCCAAGGTTTCCAAATAGGTAGGTAACTGTATGGCTTCCCAGCACCTCTGCAGGTAAAGTAAATAAAGGAGTTTAGAAAAGTGACAGCACTTCAAATAACCAGATTATGTGGAATCAACAGGAAATGCTCAGAAAGTTAATAAAGCAATTACTTAAGTGGAGTGAGTGCTGGATGAGGAGGGTGGCGGAGGGCGGAGCTTGAGAGAATCACGGTGGCCATTACCCCTGATATGGATAAATAATTTAGAGTTGGTGAAACAGTTATCAAGCACATCACTGCACATGCCAGCCCTTCATAGACATTCCCATAGGTGTCACTTTTAACTGTCTTTCTTTTTCTTTAAACAGAGGAGTGTGCCTCCCTCATCCTCACCTGTCTCTTTTGCCAGTTTTTGGATTGTCTCCTGATGCTCCCAGATACGTGTGAAACAGTGTGTACCAACTTGTGCTGCCCCTCTCACAGGTACCACCACACCTCGGATGAAAGCCACTCCCGGAATGACTGTAACTGCAACTGTGACATGGACTGCAGCCTTTTTGAATCTTGCCATGAGACCAGCGAGTGTCTGGAGCTGGCCATGGAGATTTCAGAAATCTGTTACCGCTAGCGCCACAAAGTAACCACATTCCAGCAGCCCCTTTGGCCCCGAGGGGGAAGTTCCATTAGAATAAGACTGTGAATTTCATGTGCTGAAATGTAAGGATTGTACACACTTCTTGGATGCTATAGACCATTTTATTCTGCACCTGTCTGGGAAAGCTAGTATTACCAACTCAATGGTCTTATTCCAAATTTCCCTACTGCATGGCTCGCTGAAAAGTAAGATCTTGATCACATGTGATGAACAAATCTTAAATACCTCTTAAATGCCATAGGTACAAGATGTTTCTGGACTATAAAATAGCATGTGAAACCATTCTGTGTAACTGCATTCACTGGCTTGCATCGTGGATTCAAGTTCATTCACAAATTCAGGACAAATTAGTGCATTCTGTTAGAACTGACATACATTAGCTCGTCTTTCTAATGGATTCATGCATAAACATTATGCATTGTTGGTTATTATTAATAATGTATTGTGTAACATCATTTTGTAATTAAAAATTTATTTATACAGTCTCTTAAAATTCACTTATATGTACAGTTTCAGTAGGAAAGGGAATTAAATGAATTAGAAACCATGTTCCTGTAATTACAACAGATGTCTCTAAGACATCTCCAGTGAATTCTGAATATGCTGTACTTTGAGAGAGTACTGTAATTCTAGACCATATTATTATATGTCTATGACTATGTCATAACAGGTGATGCATATTCTTAATTTGTTTCAGAAAGGCTTTTCTTTATTCTAATAAGCATAAACGGGAATTATGTGCAGGTTTCAAGAAAATGACCCCAGATAATCAATTCCTCATTTTCCTCATTTCTGTTTGTCAGGTACAATAAGCAGCAGGATATTAAAATAGAATCATTTCATTTTACTAAACTATCATTTGTGTAAGCACCCGAAAGAAATAACATGAGCAGATACTTATTCAACACTAACTTTCCTAATACAGCATGTGCTTCAGATACCCTATTTTTTTCCTTTTTCTGACAATTCAAGTAATTCATAATTATGTTGAGCACTTCCTCATACTTAATAAAAAAAATTTTAAGATATGATATAAACTTGAAAAGTGACTTTCAACTCAAACAAATGAGAAAAACAATTTGTGAAGAAAACACATCTTAGTTGAAGTTACCTAGTTACCTTGGAATCTTTACTTTCGCAGGCATGGCACTGTTTACTAATGTGTGCTTAAATTTTCCCATGGAGATACCTCACTATATTCATTGAATATAAAAAAGCAGAATATATCAATAATCAAACAAAGAACACAGAAGTGAAATGGAAAGTCAACGGAACTTTTTAAAGATCTAGGCAAACAACAACAACGAATTCTAAAATACCTGTGTTTGCCTGACTTAGATAATTTTGGGCAAAAGCAACATTAGCTTTGTTTCTGTAGTAAACTAGCACATTTTTCTACTCTGCAATAACTTCCTCAAAACACTGAAAACTATTCATCTTCTGAAAATACTTTTAAGCTGCCCATAAAAAGGCAGTGAACTGCTCCTGTCTTGTTCCTGAGAGTACAGTGCATCCATGGTGAATGTGGGCTTCATTCTTGTTTGACTATCACGTTATCCACAAAGCACAGAGCACATCAGCGCCGCATCCTCCCAATCCCCACCACCACTGCCAAACTCCTTATGAAATACTGCAGTCTCTCTGCTTTTCAGAAGCTCAGGGACAACGCTACACTCAATGCACAGAAGTTGCAGATCTTTGAGGGGGAAAAAAAGTAAATTCTAAGGAAAGGGACCTAGAGCTGCTCTTACCAATATTTTCATTTTTCAACAGAGAAAACAGAAGCTCCTCAGAACTGACTTATCCAAGACCATGCAGTGAGTTAACGGCAGTGTCAGGAACTCTAACTGGTGGTCCAATTTTCTAAGTACCTGCACCACTCCAGGATTCTCCACTTCTTAGTCTAGCTGGTACACAGTGGTACAGCTGTTCCAATTGTTCAAATATTAAAATGCTCCCAGACTGGCTCATAAACAGTTGCTACCGTGAACCTCCTTAGAGCTTTCCCCATACCCCCTGCTCCATGGCCCCTCTCCAAGCATCCCCACCCACCTCCCCCTGGTCCAGTCACTCAAGGAAGAACACCTGGACCTGTAGGGGGGGTCTCTGGGATCTTGGCCCAAAAATAACGTACCTGGTGTCACTGATAAGACCAGGCCATATCACTGTTAAATAAATGATGTTGACCATCATCCCCTTATCCTTTCTAGTCTACATACCCTCAAATTGGGCAAAGATTATGCATTTCAAATGTGAATGGAACACTTGTCAATTAGAGACCTAAGAATTGTCAGGTCTTACTTTAGACTGTGGTCAGAACACTACAAGAGCATTCTGTGGCCTCTCTTTCCATGGTTTGTTAACTTGTTCCTCACTTTCAGAATTCACCATGCTACAACAGGAAGGATCGGTTATACAAAGTGTGAAATCTCTTTCCTTTATAACCAATAATAAAACATCATCCTTTTCGCAAACATGAACGGCTCTTTCCACTGAACTCTTACACAATAAAACATACCTAGCTGGCACAATGCAATTGCAGAGGTAAGACAGATGAAAAAAAGAATGTGGTTATTGATTAAATACAAATATCAGAATCTGAGAAGGCTCAGATTTTTTTCTGCAGTGAAGAAGGTCTGAGATTACAAAAAAAGATAATGTTTTTCTTTAAGGTTGGCTTCTTAGGGAAAAGAGTATTCTGATTTAAGGAAGCACATTAGATAAGAGAGATGTGAGAACATACAACCTTTACAGGGAATCCAGAACAGGGATTTTTCCCACAGCTATATAACCAGATAAGTACACTGTCTTTGCTTTGCTCAATGGATTTTTATAAAATCACTGCTTCTCTAAAAGCCTACAAAATATGGAAAGCCATGAAGAAACGAAGTTACATTTCACTTGCTAATGAAAATTTCCCACTACATAAGCTGATAGGCCTACAAAACTAATTATCAATGCTGGACAAAGTTAATAAAGCAAAAGTTGCTTCAGTTTTTTTCCAAGGGAGCAACACAAGATATTCATTCAAGGGAACTTTACAAATAGGAAACAATCACATGAAGGCATATCAGCATTTTTTCAAGGATACATGCGTAAGTGGAAGTGTTTGAAGGACAGAATTCATTATCCAATGCCTCCAAATTTCTCCCTCTACAAAACGGAGCAAAAGAATAAAACATACACTTAAGTAAGTTAGTTTAACTAGAGGAATTTTGCCTATCAAATGCTAAATTCACCCAGGCTACACAAACTGATAACCTGTGATAAAATTATAAAATTTACATACTTGGTTTAATAGTGTGCTGGGTATTCTTTGAAAAAGATATGTGAGTTTAAACCGGAACAATTGCCATATATAGCCAGACTCATGTGAGCTGTTTAGAAAGACAGAGTACAAAATAATTTTCTGGGGATTACAATCAACACTGGACTAAAATTATATTATTGGGCTCCTGTACACAGATCTAGACAGGTCCTAACATTACCAGGAAGGAGTCCAGAATGTGGGGAACTGTGAGGAATGGAGGTAAAGGCAAGACCTACATAAGGATATGGACGGAAGTGCCGCCTTCTGGTCTACCATCCTGATATGCTGCCCAGTCCTGCTTGTGCCACTATCTCTGAAGCAGTGATTCTCAATAAGGGGTGATTAGGCAATTGTTCAGCAATGTCTGGAGACGGTTTGGTTGTCACAACGTAAGGAAAAAGGATGCTACTCATATTCAGTGAGTAGGAGCTAGGAACGTTATTAAATATCCTACAACACAACGGACAACCTCCCAAAACAAAGAAACAGCTCTGAAAGTCTTTCTATCAGCCTCAAAGAACCATCACCAAACTGACCTTGAAAAACTGTTGGAGACGGGACTGCCAGATAAAAAAGGGATGCCCAGTTAACTTTAAATTTCAGATAAATAACAAGCAATATTTTAGTATAAGCATGTCCCAAATATTGCATGTGACGTACTTATATTATGAAATGATTCCTCACTTATTTGAAATTCAAATTTAGCTGCTTGTCCTATATTTCTGTTTGCTAAGTCTAGCAGCCCTAGTTCAGAAGACTCCGTAATTTGAAAAGGGATCCCGGAAAGTGCTGATCCCTCAGCTCCCTCCCTTCCTCCAAGAGGGGGGACTGTTGATCTCTTTGCTCAGAAGCCAGGACATTCATTGGGCCACGTTTTACAAGGAGGTGTAATTTAGGTTGCAGGAACCTGGCTTAAAGATCAGATCCAAAGCAGGACAGTCATTTTCCCTCCTGCCTGAGATTGATGCTGGACCTACAGTCTTGGACTAAGCTGGTCATCCCTCGTTTTCTCAGCCTTACGTCTCTGTTGCCAAGTAAAGAAGCACTTTAGTCAAGGCCATCTCGATTAAAGACATAGTAAGCAGAGGTCTTCACTTAAGCCTTGATATCTAAACCATATTTTCTGATTCAGTCCTGGCTAGAAAGACCTGTCTTGATAGGTGCATGTCTCGCTAGAAAGGAAGTATGTTCCCCTTCTAGCTATTTCCCTGTCCATATAGCTCCCTCTGCCAAAATTCTATATGAGAAAAGAGAGGAATATCAGGGTGAGATTGAGGCATTTCTTGAACCTGGACTGCAACACCATGTGCTAACACCTGAACTGCACCATGCGCTCTTAGCATACAGTTAGGAGTAGACCAGAGAGCCTCAAAGCGTTCCCTTTACTACATTATTCTTATTTATTTTACAGATGAGAAAAAATACAAAATAGAAAATATTTAAGTGCTTTATATACATTATCACAATTCTCTAAATATTCCTTAAAACAGGCTCTATTAGCACCCCCATTTTCCCTGGGGAAATAAAGATGTAAAGAAATTAAGTAACTTGTCCAATGTCACCCATTAAATAAGTAATTGTCACAAGGCTTGAACCCAGGTCTGGGCATATCAAAGCCCATACTTTTAATCACTAAGCCTAAAAGTTATACATAAGAAAAATGAGCGAATCAAGATAAAGTTCAAGTGCTCACTTCTAAAGCAAAAGCAGTCAGAAACATATAATGACTAAATTCAAAAAAACTCATTCGTTGATAGTAAATGTTTTCAAAGTTGTTATTCTATGCAATGATGAGAATTTGGAACATCTTCAAAATGCTTTTAAGAAATGTACCCAATAAGTAATACATGCAAAGTGAACGTATTGCAATTTAATTTTTACGTCAGTAGCTTTGCCCCATTCATTTATGGTTACAAAGGCTTACATTATAGTGCTCCATTTTAGCAAAGCAACTTTGATCTCTGCCTCAAGAGCCCATCCTGCACACAGAACCCAGGCCAGCCCCTCATCAGGATTCCAAGAGAGCCTTGATTGTTTTTAATCAGTCAACAACACTACGGTCAACCAAATACATTCTGATACTTAGACCTTTTATCTCAAAAGCTATGCAGAAACCAAGGTCACGGTAACCTCTTTTATGGCTTATTGTTCCTCAAATGTACTTAGAGTGAATTTACAAAGCCACAAAATTATTTTGTGGATTCAGAGCTTTCACTAGGTTCAGCACTCTCCGACATCCTCTTTGTTTCCTCTTTCAGCACTTTCTGCCAAAGGGGTTTCACTGAACATCAAGTTCCCGTAAATTTTTTTTAAAAAATAAAATAAGTATATTGAACAAGATTCTCCCAGCAGCTAAGCTACCCATCACTTGTAATTGAGGCTCTCCAGAAAGCTGCATTAACGTTTCAAAACATCGCTGTACAGCTTTGCAATGTGAGGGGCAGGCCCCTGTGATGGGAGAGGAAGGCAAGAAGGTAGGATGGTCCAATGCCATCACTCTGCCATTGTTACAATCAAGTAACTGCTGATGTGGGCACGGCAGCACAGCACCCAGCTCAGGGGGCAAGTTTGGGGAACTGGCCCTGGGAGAGGAAATAAAGATAGGGCTCTGAAGGATGCAGAGCAGCCTCAACAGATCCACAAGCCTCATGAAGTTCCCTCCTAGCTCACTTTTGGGATGACTCTCATTCTAAGCAATAACAGGCATAAATTCATAGTCTCGATCTACTAGTAACACTTTTACAATAATGTATTAGCCATGTATTAGAAATAATTTTGAGAATGAAAGTGTCTGTGAAGCACCAAAAGCCACCCTGCGTGCTACCAGTAGTACTTGTACAAAGATATCAGGAAACCATAGATTCAATGAAGGCAAGAATGAGACAAACTAGGTGACCAGTTGGGAGGTGACTGTCCCATTCCGGTAAGACTTAGAAGAGGCCTGGACTAAGGGGTTGGCTGTGAAGTGAATGGCTATGGGGAAAGAGGAAGAGGCAGGTTTCATATCTAGGAAGGGCCTTGAAAATTAGTTTGCGACTGACTTAGGAGCAAATGAAAAGCCACTGCAGAATGGCAGGGAATTATATGATTAAAGTGGTGTGAGAGGAAGCCAAACCACGCTGCTGTGTACAGGACAAATTAAAGCATGGAGGGACTGGAGACTAACAAAGGAGCAACTGCAACAAGGGATGGGGTGATGAAGGCCTGAAATAGGATGGTGACAGGAAAAACAAGAGGAAAGAGATGGATGGGAAAGAAATTAGAAAAGGACCATTAGTCCCTTCTCAAACTCTCTTATTTTAAGACTCAAATATTCCCTACTGTCTATCACGTATATGAGTCATGAAGCCATTATTTTCATTAGGGAAGAAACGGGTTGGGGAGGGGAGAGTTTTAT